TCTCATGGGTCCCCTACTGGGGACCTGGCCTGCAACCCAGGCATGTGCCCTGACTGGGAAACAAACCGGCAATCCTTTGAGATACACCAGCCAGGGTTGATTCTACTGATCTTGAAGGGGATCAGACTATGTCACATCCAAGTATGTTTCCCTTTGCATAAGAATTATTTTGAGCTGAAGGCAACTTAGAAGAAATAGACACAAGAAAGTCTCTACCCTCCCCCTTTCTACCTGAAAGCAGAACAAAAAATTCCCTTTGTGAAGGTATCTTCCTCTCACCTCTCCTTTACCAGGAAGGGGAGAATGAATCTTATCTCTGGAGATAACTCACAGTACTTTACTAAATAACCCTTATCTTACATTAATTTCATCTAATACATTTACCTTCCTACAACTTACCACCCCTAAAAGCCTAAATCCTCTTCTTGTCTTTTCCATCAACACAGACTTATTGCTCTTTGTTAAAATGATATTAACCCTCTGGGTTTAGCCATTTCTTTGGAACTATCCCTATGTTTTTTTTATTAAAAAGATTTTACTTATTTATTTTTAGAGAGGGGAAGGGAGGGAGAAAGGAGAGAAACATCAGTGTGTGGTTGCCTCTCATGCACTCCCTACTGGGGACCTGGCCTGCAACTCGGGCATGTGCCCTGACTGGGAATCGAACTGGCAACCCTTTGGTTTGCAGGCCAGTGTCCAATCTACTGAGCCACACCAGCCAGGGTGCTGTATTTTTCTGTAAAGACCTCAACATACATATCATTTTGCCTCTTTAAAAAATTGAATTTTTATTTATTGATTTGAGAGAGAGAGAAATTGATTTGTTGTTTCGCTTATTTATGTATTCATTGGTTGATTCCTCTATGTGCCTTGACCGGGGGTCGAAAAGGCAACCTTGGCATATTGGGACAGTGCTCTAACTGAGCAACCCGGCCAGGGTCCATTTCTCCTCATAATCTGTCCTTTGTTAGGTTATTTTGTAGATCCCAGCTGCAGAAACTAAGAGGGTACAGAGATTTTTTTTCCTCCTCTACAATCTATTCTCAAATGTTCTAAGCACCAGTTAAATGCTATAATACCCATATTGATATTCCACTAATCAAGCCCACCAAACATAGATTTACTCAATAAAAGCATTTATTTTAGGTAAATTGCATACTTACAACCTCTAGTGTCAAGAAGAAATTTTACAAGTCTCTAGCATAATGGAGCAAACTATGTGTGTCACTTGTCTTTTCTACCTTATGTTTACTGAGCTACTTTTGAAGATCAACAAAAACAGAGAGTGTAACAGCCAGAATCCTAGGCTTGGTGTGACCAATGAGTAGGTGGTGAATCTGGTGTGCATCACGCTGTAGGCCTTACTATATAACAGTTTTACATGGATGCTAAGAAGACAAGAGTGAAAATGTAGTTCCAAAGAGATATAACATATCACTATCACGAGAAAAAAGAACATCATCAGGAAAATAAACTTCATTGTGCTTACTGTGCTTCACTACAGCTAGCACTAGGTTCAAAGATAACAACGGATACTGAACTCCAAAGGCATATGAAATAGAATAGAGGCCTCTTTTAACTCTCCCAATAGAATTACATAAGTAAAAGAAACCCCAGGCAATCTTTTCCTGAAAACAACAGATAGAAAATGGTACTCAACTACTCCAGAAAACAAAACAAAACAAAACAAAACAATAGTACTCCAGGGGGGTCACTACATTTTGTGTCAAAAAACTACTATGCTCCTCATTTAAAAGGCTTTGTACTCAAACAAATGGGGAATTACGTAGGGTTTGGGGGTGCATGGGTTGAAGTAATTAAAAGTTGGTAAGTAGGATTGTTGAAATAAGCATAAAACAAGATAGTACAAATAGTCCCTGTTTTTAATAGTAACCAATGCCTAGAAACTTTCTGGTGAATTAAACTAATAAGAGCAAACGCTTTCCCCTAAAGCAAAGCAGTTAAAAATGTCTCCATCTACTACATTAGTCAGTGAAGATTTTCTGGAGGCAGTAGGCCTTGAAAACTGGGCAAGCTTGGAATAGAAAGGAGACTGCAGGAATCCAGATAAGGGGAATAGGAGTAAGGGCCGAGAAGCAAGAATTCAACACTGACTCAAGACTATCACATTTAGACATGGGGTTAGGTTCCGAGTATACTAAGAACTATGAAGTACAGTTCTCTGCCTTAAATTAGCCTAGAGCACAGCCAGTGAGACACGCTGCCAAGAAAGACATGGTGATAGCAACGTCAAAGTACATATGATGTACTGTTAGAACACAAATGAGGATCAATTCTGCCTGCTTGATTCAGGAAAAATAAAAAGAGAGATAACATATTTGAGCTAAATCTTGAGGGATGACTAGGGCTTTGCCCTATGAGCAAAGGGGACAGGAAGGGCATTTCCCACGAATCAAACACAGACATAGACACGAATGTGAGTGTTTAGGATACACACCTACATCCAGTAAAGCAAACAGGATGCGCAGGCACTAGGGAATTAGAACTGAGTTAAAAAGGTAAGATGAAGCAGTATCAGGAAGGATATTATTCTGTAGGTTTCAAGGAACCATCTGAAGATTTTAAGCCACAAAAAAACAGCAGTCATTACTGTATTAAAAAAAATTGCCAGTGGCAGTGTAGAAAATGAATTGGGTAGAGACCCGAGAAAGAAAAACTGATTAGGAGGCTACAGCAAACATTTAATGAGTGTCAGAGGAGTGTCAGGAGTGTCAAAGGCCGAGATGATATGAATGACAATGGGAGGTGAGGGGACAGATTCCGTGGGCATTTGTAGGTTGAAGTAGAGTGGATGGGAATTTGTAACTAATGTGATATGTGAGTAAGGAAGGAAAATTAATAGCGTTTTTGACTGAGTTAAAAAGGTACCTTATGGATGCCAATGCTATTAAAGATGGTTCAAAAGAGAGAAACAGGGTTGTGTATAGATAAAAAAAAAATGTATCGATCAAAGATTATTAACATCTCTCCAGTTACACAAGCCTGGGAATCTTTCTAGCCTATTCATTTACTAGCTAGTCAGTCAGTCTCCAAGTCCTAGAGATTCCATTTTTTTCACTTCTCTTGAATGCAGCTCATCTTTATGGATTCTAGACCCACTGCTATCATAATGTATCATAAAGTACTCATTTCTCTGCTGAGTTAATAGCCTCTTACGTGGTCTCCCTGTCTCTACACTGCAGCCCCCAACCAATTTATTCTTTTTTTTTAAAATTTAAGTCCTCACCTGAAAACGTTTTTTTTTTTTTGCTCCTAGAGAGAAAGGGAGAAAAAACATCAATTGGCTACCTCCCACACACCCAGACTGTGGACTGTACGTGCCTTGAGCAGAGACTGAACCCTCAGCCTAAGTATGTGCCCTGACTGGGAACTGAACCCTCAACCTTTTGATCATGAAATGATGCTCCAACTAACCAAGCCACTCCTGCCAGGGTCATCCAATCTATTCTTTACAGTGCTACAAGAATGCTCTTTCTAAAACAAAAGTCTGCACATTTTAATTAAGATCCTGATCAAAAGCCCTCAAAGTGCCTTCTCCCCCAGTAGCTTGCAGAATACAGTTCAAATGTCATGGCTTAATGCAAAAGACCATTTAAAACCCCAATTCTGCCTACCTCTCCTACAACTCTCACCATGTACACTTTGCTTCTGCCATGTGGAATTGCTTGTAGTGCTTTTAACAAGCCATACTCTTCCAGCCTCCACGCCTTTGCACTTGCTATCTTCTCTGAAATGCCCCTTCCTCCCTTCCTTCTGTCATATATTACAATTAATACCTAGTTCAAACAGTAAAGTAAAGCCTCCAGGGAGCTTGTACTGACACTCTGATTCACAAGGCTACTTGTGAAGTACCCTCTGTGGCATATTACCATCCATTATTGTAACTGAGTAACTGAGGATAAGTCTATTTTAGTGGTCAGCACAGTCCCCGAGGCCATAGAATATGTTTCTTTTAACTTTGTAGAATCTAGTAGTGTCTGGCATATGGACCAGGCACTCAGAAAACATGAGTTGCTTGAGACCTATTAATTGATGTGCTTGAAGAAGGTGGAGAGATCAGTATAGGTGGAGAGATCACACACAGTTTTATGTGAAAGGGTAACATGCACAAAAAGATCTCATTCTTGTTCGAAAAATATAATGCTACTGAAAGGAAATGAGAATTATGGAGCTAAAGCCAGTTCAGGGCTAAAGCTAAGTGAGTAAGTCAACTGAGAATGGCCAAGAACAGGACCCTGAGAAATAGCAACATTTAAGGGGGTGGAAGAGGTAGTAGGGATCTAGAAAGAGAACAAGAAAAAACAGAACCCAGAACCATGGGAAGCTGAGAGGAGTATGTTTAGAGTATGGAAAAATTCATGTCAAATACACTAGAGCCAATGAAATCCTAGGAAAAGACTGTTGAGCAGGTGGACATGGGTTCTCTTTGTTCATATCACACTTGTCTAGGTCAATACATAAGCAGAGGGGAGAACTTAGGATATTATATATTCTACTTTTTAGGTTTAAAATTGGTTATATCTAATCCTCCAGCTCTGAGACTATATGAAAATCATTTAGATATTTTAAACTACCTAAAACTGTGATAGAGCATTTGTCAAGCCACGATGGAAAAATTAAAATATTTCAGTATCCTTAATTACCTCTTATTCAGGTATCCATTATTATTTCTTAAAAGTATTTAACATGGATTTGAGGAGAGGGGATTTTGTTTCATTTAAGTTTACATGAGTAGTTAGGGACTTTGAGTAATATTCACTGTCTGACTTTTAAGCATCACACTGTTTTTTTAATTTACCAATTCCTAAAAGAAACTCTCCTAACACATCTTAATTTTAATTAAGTGTTTTCATGCAACTGTAATGTCTCATAAACAATAAGGTACTTAAAAAAAACTCCAAAAGAAAGAAAACAATAAGGTGCTTTTAGTAAACAAATCATAGTATTTAACAACAGTGACTATAAAATAACACACATACCCCAGTATCTGTATCAGATTTTGATGAATTTAGGCTTTCCTGAGAAGGTGATGGGGACACACGTCCTGCAAAACAACATAACTGTAAAAAGGCATGTACACATACACATACACACACCCAATCAGAAACAATGACACAGGAACACCTAATTAATAGTCATAGGATGTAACCTTCTAGAAAAATACATGCAAAGCATTAACTCTTTAGGCATCAAAATATTTGTTTTAATCATTTTTATACAAAATCTTTTATAAAATGACTTAGCCATTTTCCCACTTTTAATAAAGTACTGGGTTGGACAAAAAGTCTGTTTAGTTTCTTCCATAAAATAAGATACATTTTTCATTTTCACCAATAACTTTATTGATTTGGATATTTTGAATATATCAGCTATCTCCTGCATAGTATAACATTGATTGCTCTCAATTAATGTCTTGATTGGATCACTATCAACTTCAACTGGACTACCTGACCGTGGAGCATTGTCCAGCAAGAAATCTCCAGCAGGAAACTTCACAAACCACTTCTGACATGTTTGATCAGTCATGGTTCCTTTTCCATATACCACACAAATCTCTTTTTCAGTTGTGTTTTTATCTTTCTTGAAATAATAAAGCATAATATGCTGAAAATGTTGCTTATTTTCTTCCATCTTCAATATTAAAATGGCTAAACAAAAATTCATCAATTTTGATAAGTTGTTTTTAGATGCACACTGATATGACAGTTGTCACACAATGCAATCTTAACAAAACTGTTTTAGAATGAAATTAAAGACAACTAAGTGAAGTGCTACTAGAGCCATCTTATGGAAAAAAACAAACAAACTTTTTGGCCAACCCAATACTGTTACACTTTCATTATTCATAGTGAATACATTCTTGTCAATCCTAACAAGTAGCAAGATGAACAATTAAGGATCAGGAAGAGTCTAGGCTGTGGTAAGTCTCAAGGGCCACTGAAAATAGTCTTTTTGCTCCATTTAGGGCATAAAAGAAATGTAAACTTTGTTTACTATATTGTCAACTCATTATCACCTTCGATTACGTATTACAACAAAATGGCACAACATAATGCTAGCAATACACACAGGGCTCTTAAAGTATATAGGGCCTTGCTTGCTAGTTCTAGTTCAGTGGACCTTCCTAGATTTCTATGTTCCTCAAATTGCTGCTTTGACTATACTCTATACTCCTGCCCATGGCCAGCTCTATTCTACTTTCTCCCATCCCTTAGCTTCTTGTCTTCCAGCTTTGGATGTGTTGGGACAGGGAGGGAGGGGTTTGTGGAGAAAATTTATTGCAATTAAATAACTGTGAGAAAAGAATCTCCAAAACTTAAACTCCTATTTACATAAATTCTATGACATACTTTTCTTGATAAGTTACCATGATACATAATTATTTTACACAATTGTAAGTAATTGTATACGTAGGCCATGTTCTCAGGTTTCTTTTCCATTTAACCTTTTCCCACATATCCTTTGATGAACTGACAGATCACATTTGCTTTCCATGCTATGTTTCCTTAATCATTCTTTATTTATTGGATGTATACATTATCCTAATTCTTTCTCTAGATCACAGGTAGCAAATACAAGGCCCATGGGCCAAATCCAGCCCTCGGCCTTGTTTTATCCAGCCAGGCACCTTGTTTCTACCCAGCAGCCACATCGAGCTGTCGCTTAACTGTTAAGGAGTAGGTACCTTTATTCAGTCCTAAAATCATATTCGGCTGTTTGAAGGCAACCATGAGGCCAGTGTGGCCCCCCCAGTGAAAATAGGTTTGACGCCCCTGCTCTAGATCAATCAGAATTTCACTTTATCCCAGAATGGAACTGAAGATTGCCAAAGGAAACCAAATAACTTAGTTCTCAATAGTTGATGAAATTAACTCTGTACTACATCTGAAAGTTAAAAGCTCTGTGGTAGCTTTTTTCACTGAGTTTAGATGCTTTTTGCTGTTGACTTCTGTTTTACTTCTAGGTCTGTGGCTATAGAAAGTAGTGGTTGCTGCAAATGATTGCCAGTTAAGAGGCATTACCATGCCTAAAATGTCAAAATGCCAGGTGTCTTTGGATTTTTAAAGACCACAAATAAATGAGAACTACCTTCAGTATTGTATTTCATTCGCATATTGTTGAAGTAGTCAAAAGCATTTTTTAAAGCCCATATTCTCACTACATTGTCTTGTCCAGCTGAGGCAAGTAATCTGCCACAATGAGAAAATTTCATGGTCCAAACAGCTCCCTATGAAAATAAAGGAAGGTCCAAAGTTATTATTTTAAACACTGAGACATTACGTCAAAAATTAAAAAAAAAACATGTCAAATTATACATACTAAGATAATAATGCTTACATTACTAACACCATTTAAAGCCAACAGTTTGATGGAGGAACAACACCATAAAAAGGGTCTCTTCAAAAAAAGGTGAGACAGCCCTGGCTGGTGTAGCTCAGTGGATTGAGCGCAGGCCTGCGAACCACATGATCGCGGTTCGATTCCCAGTCAGGGCACATGCCTGGGTTGCAGGCCAGTTCCCTACAGGCCAGTTCCCAGCAGGGGAGGCACAAAAGGCAACCATACATTGATGTTTCTCTCCCTCTCTCCTTCCCCCCCTTCCCCTCTAAAGATAAATAAATAATAAAATATTTTTTAAAAAAAGGCGAGACAACATACTTGCAGTTTGCCATAATTTAAAGTAAGAGTTTCAAGATCTCAAATCTTGTCCATATGTTAATGAAAATAGTGTTTCTGAGGTGGCTGGAAACCCTCAAGGTAAAGCACAAATCCTAGTTGGGGATCTCAGTTTATCAGCTGAACTTGGGAGCAGGATAGGAAGAGGCAGAGCCTTTAGCATAGCACCAACAACTCCTGACCAGGGCTGAGGGAAGAATATGCCCCACCTTAGCAGTTATCCTCTTAGTATTGGGCATTTGAAGAAGTGTTGGAATACTGTGGTCTCCTGTTTTTCTCCCAAGAAACAAGGTTTCCCAGTATATGACTAGAATTCCCACACAGACACTGAAAACAGTGGGGAAGTTTGTCTGTGTGTATATGTGCATGTTGGGGAAGGGTTAAAGAATGTGAACCCTTGTCCTGACTGGTGTGGCTCAGTTGGTTACACATTGCCCTGCAAAGTGAAATGTCGCTGGTTTGATTCCCGGTCAGGGCACATGCCTGGCCTGGGGACCCCAGGTGGGGCATGTATGAGAGGCAAATGATCAATGTTTCTCTCTCACAGTGATGTTTCCCTCCCTCTTTTCCTTCCTCTTTTTCCTGCTCTCTAAATAACATCTCAAAAAAAAAAAAAGAATGTGGGACTTCTGGCCAAGACAGAGGCATAGGTGGAAACACTGTGCCTCCTCATACAACCACAAAGGACAACAAAGATTTAGAAAGAAAAACACAACCAGAGCAGGCAGAAATTTGAACTGTATGGAAGTCCAACAACCATTCAACTGGACGGTAAGAGGGGAGGGGCAGAGTCAGTGGCCCATGGAGAGGGGTCCGGGGAGGGGTCTGAGCAAGAAAAGGTGGTGGCTGCTAGACCAGGGTGTGCAGGCGGTATGGGGCTAGCAGACCCCAGGTGTGGGGAGGAAACAAGCAGAGCGGGAAAAGTGGTTGGCTGACTGCAGCCACATATTCGGGTGCAGATAAACTAGGCAAAAATGAGCAGTGAGACAGACTGCGCAACCCAGGGCCCCAGCGACCGGAAATAAAGCCTAAAAGCACCGACTGAAAAGGTGCTGGGAGAGACTCCCAGCTTCACAGGAGAGTTCGTAGGAGAAACCCACAGGGTTCTAGAATGTACACAAGCCCACCCATCTGGGAAACAGAACCAGAAGGGCCCAATTTGCTTGTGGGAAGTGGCAGAAGGGGCTGAAATCCGAGAGAGAGCAGAGCGAGCGACATTGGTCCCTTTCTGACCCCGCTCCCATATACAGCATCACAACCCAGCAACTGGGTCACCCCACCCTGGTGAACATCTAAGGCTCCACCCCTCACTATGTAACAGGTACAACCAGACCAAAAAAAAATTTTTAAAAAAGAGGCTCAAACAGAAGAACAGATCAAAGCCCCAGAGACAATACTTCTAAGCGACCAGGAGATAGCCAACCTACTGGATGCACCGTTCAAAACACTGGTGATCAGGATGCTCACAGAACTGGTTGATTTTGGTCACAAATTAGATGAAAAAAGAAGGCTACACTAAGTGAAATGAAGCAAAATGCACAGGGAACCAATGGTGATGGGAAGGAAACTGGGACTCAAATAAATGGAGTGGACCAGAAGGAAGAAACAACCAAACAGAAAAGAATGAAGAAACAAGAATTCAAAAAAATGAGGAGAGGCTTAGGAACCTCCAGAACATCTTTAAATGTTCCAACATCCAAATTATAGGGGTACCAGAAGGGGAAGAAGAAGAGCCACGAGTGGAAAACTTATTTGAACAAATAATAAAGTAGAACTTCCCCAATCTGGCAAAGGAAATAGATTTCCAGGAAGTCCAGGAAGCTCAGAGAGTACCAAAGAAGTTGGACCCAAGCAGGAAAACACCAAGGCACATCATAATTACATTAGCCAAGATTAAAATGAAGGAGAGAATCCTAGAAGCAGCAAGAGATAAGGGAACAGTCACCTACAAAGGAGTTCCCATCAGACTGTCAGCTGATTTCTCAAAAGAGACCTTACAGGCAAGAAGGGGCTGGAAAGAAGTATTCCAAGTCATGAAAGGCAAGGACCTACATCCAAGATTGCTCTATCCAGCAAAGCTTTCACTTAGAATGGAAGGGCAGATAAAGTGCTTCTCAGATAAGGTCAAGTTCAAGTTCAAGGAATTCATCATCACTAAGCCCTTATTACATGAAATGTTAAAGGAACTTATCTAAGAAAAAGAAGATAAAAATATGAGCAGTGAAAAGACAGCAAACTCACAGTTATTAAGAAGCACACCTGAAACAAAAGCAAACTAAGAGGACAGTTAGATCAGGAGAGGAGCCACAGAAATGGAGAGATCACATGAAGGGTTAGCAACAGGGGAGTGGGAGGAGGAGAAGGGGGGAGAAGGTACAGAGAATAAGTAGCATAGACCGTGGGGAGAAAATAGACAGGGGGAGGGCAAGAGTAGTGTGGGAAATGTAAAAAAGCTAAAGATCTTACGACATATGGACATGAACTTAAGTGGGGGAATGTGGGTGGGGTGGTGTACAGGGTGGAGGTGAACGAAGGGGGGAAATGGGACAACTGTAATGGCATCATCAATAAAATATATTAAAAAAAAGAAAGCAAACCCTTAAATTGGAAAGGCCAAATCCTACTATAACAAATATTGTCACAACTACTATTAAACCACACATATATGCAGATGACAAAGATTATCCAAGTTAGAGGCAACAGCTCATTTAATGGAATAACATTCATTTCCACAAAATTCAAGAGTATTAAGAAATTTGTCATTTAGAGACTAATATAAGGCGATTTTACTTAAAAATGCAAATAATGAAAGAGAATCCATACAGTACAAAGAAATTCATCAGGTGCCTTAAGGGAGTTACTATAATCAAGTCAAACATTTTATATCTACATTATAAACATCAAAGTTTAAATTCCAACCTGGCTGCCATCTGATATGTTTGTGGTTGCTTCCTTCTAGTCAGGCCAACTTTTAGATTTAAAATCTAAATAGATAAATGCTTGCCCAGTGTCATTTATCCAGTCTTGAGTTTATTACTTCTTCCCCTATATTCCTAGCATTTCCAGGGGTAATATAATTTGTGGTATTATATCTACTTGGGTACATTTTAACTCTGACAGGGAACTTGTACCACTACCTCTTATCCTTGTTTTAGCTGTCATTTTACAAAATATATATTGAGCTTTTGAAACAGTAGTGTAAATTATTTAAAATATAATGGGAAACACTTTAAACATTCTTATGGTGTCCAGAAGTATTTAATTTTTTCATCCAGATCTTGCATTTTTCTTATTAAATATGTTGTTAGATATTTTATCTTCTACATTGTCTTTTAAAAAAGATTTTATTTATTTATTTCTAGATTGAGGGGAAGGAGAGAGAGGGGAAAAGAAACATCAATGTGTGTTTGCCTCTCCCCTGCCCCCCAATCGGGGACCTAGCCCACAACCCAGGCATGTGCCCTGATTGGGAATTGGACTGATGACCTTTTGGTTTGTGGGATGATGCCCAACCCAGTGAGCCACAGTAGTCAGGACACTTGAAACATTTTTCAAAGTGATAGATCACTCTCTAATTAACTGTTTTAAAATTTGGTACTTTTACATAACTTTCTTAATGAGATAGGACTAGTGTTTACTTAGTTCAGTAATTCACTTCCTGAACAATTCAGAGAGAGTCTCTGTATTATCTATTCATTAAATTGTATTAAGATCAATTTATTCTTCTTTAGTAAAGCTAGCAAAATTACCTACATACAGATCTTCTTTATAGAAGCCAAAGTATATCTCTCAATAAAAACAGAATCGATAATGGCCTGACTAGTGTGGCTCGTTGGATGGGTACTGTCTCGAAAGCGAAAGGTCACTCGTTCAATTCCTGGTCAGGGCATATGCCTGGCCTAGGCTGCGGGTTTGGTCAGGTTGGGATGTGAATGAGAGGCAATGGATTGATGTTTCTCACATTGATGTTTCTCTCCCTCTCTTTCACCTTCTCTTCCCCTCATTCTAAAAATAAATAAATAAAATATTTACAAAATACCAGAATCAATACTGGAAAATAAAACAGTTGCTTACCATATGTTCGCCACTAAGATCTTGCACCACTTTTATCTGATCAAAATCATAAGGTCCTTTGAAACCATGTGCTGCTTTGAATTTAACTGGTCTTGTGTATGGCATTCCTTCATCATCACTTGATGAAGGATCATCTTGATCAGTATGAAACACTAAATAGAAATGCAAGAGATCATTACTAGCTAATGTATATATATTTACTATGATATTTTTATATCCACTCCTTACCAAGAAAATTCATTACATGGAGAAGCAAAATCTATTACTAAATAGCATATTAACTAAGAGCATGGAGCCAAGTGCCAGGTCTGAGTCCAAGTTCAGCTTTGTCTCATTTATTATCCTTGTGACCACAGGCAAGGTACCTGACCTTTCTGTGCTTTGGTAATTCTCATCTATAAAATGGGGATAATAGGGTGCTTACCTCATAAATGAGTTAACACAAGTGAAAGTGCTCAGAACAGTGTCTGGCATAGAATATTATGTAAGTGTCTATTAAATAAAACCAATGAGTACAATTATAACAAGAGCATAGAAAGTTAAGATCTTTGCAAAGTTGGAAAACTTACCTAATTTTGAAAACATTTATAAGAACCAAATAGCCATATATAACTAATTTACAACTGATTATTGTATTGAACAGTCAACTCTTCTAGGTTGCCACAGTCACAAAGTATGTACAAATTCATGTTTAAGATATGTAAATTCATTTTCTTCCCACTTATAAAATTATGTGTTAGTGAGAGTAACATAATTTACTGAAATGCTAAGATATGTATAAAGGTTTATTACTTTTGATAAAATAGAATGAATGCTTCTTATAAACTACAGGCTAAATTTCGATGATGACCAACCAAATATTCGACTGAAATGTTCTTTTTCACTTACCTTCATCTCTAACACTTTTAACTTTATTTACAGCACGTTCACCATATTCCTCAGCAAGGTGCTTTGCTCTCTTCACTGATTTTCCTAGGAACTTCTTTAGTTGAGTCCTTACAAAAAATACACACACAAAAAAACCAAACAAAATTATTTCTTATTAATTCAACTAAGCATATAAGTTCAACAATTCACTGATAATCTCATTATGACTGGTAAAGCATATTATTTTTTTAAAGATTTTATTTATTTACCTTTAGAGGGGAAGGGAAGGAGAGAGGGAGAGAAACATCAATGTATGACTTTCGTGCGTCCCCTGCTGGGAACTGGCCTGCAGGGAACCTGCCTGCAACCCTGGCATGTGCCCTGACTGGAAAGCATATTATTTTTTAAAGATTTTATTTATTCATTTTTAGAGAGAGGGGAAGGGAAGAAGAAAGAGAGTGAGAGAAACATCAATGTGTGGTTGCCTCTCACCCACCCCACCCTGAAGACTTGGCTCACAACCCAGGTATGTGCCCTGACTGGGAATCAAACTGGTGATCCTTTGGTTTGCAGCCTGTGCTCAATCCACTGAGCTATACCAGCCAGGAAAAGCATATTATTTTGAATTAACCCTTTTTAATGTAAGTAGTAGGTCTTTTGAGTTCCTAAATCCCTTATTGTATAGAATACAGAGTGGGGAAAAAGTAGATTTATAGTTGTTCATATGGAAAATAATACAATAATAAATAATACAATAATAAACTGTGTTTTGTGTACTGACAAGTGTAAACCTATTTCCCGCACACAGTGTATATTCAAATCAATATGGCTACAAAGGTAATATAGGCACTTCTTCCAATATATAATATTGTATACTCTAGAGCATTGGTTTTCAATGGTGAATGATGATCAGTTGGCAAGGAGCAGGTGGGAGGGGAGTGTTTAAAGTACAGATATCTAGACCCCATCCCCAGATCATCTGAATTAGGGGGTTTGGGATGAAGCTATAAACCTGCAGTGAGAATCACTTTGAGAAGATTCCTTTAGAGCAGGAGTGTCAAATTCATTTTCACTGGAGGCTACATCAGCCGAAATAATTTTAGGGCTGTATAAATGCAACTACTCCTTAACTGTTAAGAAGCTGAAATTACATTCAGCTCTTTGAAGGCAACTGCCTGTGGCCCCTGGTGAAAATGAGTTTGACACCCCTGCTAGAGAGTCATCCTTAAAAACACACTTTAACAAGAACAACAAAACACTAAAGATGTATTTGCTTACAAAGTAGAACACTTTGAACAAGAGTAAAAAAAGAAAAAGAACCCAAAATAGAACACTGTGGTAGCCTAAGATGGCCTCTTGTCCTTTCTCTTTCAGTTTGGGTATTTGCATGCAATACAGTTAGGCAGAACTTTGCAGTAGGTACGGCCGGTGTAATGTAAGTATGCATTTCAAGTTTCCATAAATAGGACTTACTGCTTTTTCAATTATCTACATCTCAAATTTCATATAGTAAAATGATTAAAAAACAATACAAAGCACATGATATTTACAGCCAAAACAAAATGTACAAAGCAGGGGCAAATTTTTACCAACTAATGGGAGCTCATGATATTAAGGACAGAATTTGAAAAAGTTGGTAAGTTATATATATGAAGAGGTTCACTGCAGTATTATTTAGAATAGGTAAAAAGTAGAGATAAACTAAATTTTCATCAACAGAGGAATGAACAAATAAGTGATTGTATACCTTTTCAATGGAATGCAATAAAATAAACAAGGCAAACCTCAGTTCTTTAAAGGTAGCAAGCTCTTAGTCACCTCAGGGCCTTTGCATGTGTGGTTCCACTCCTTCTAATATTCCTCCTCTAGCTAATTTCTACCTCTCTTTACGTCTTTGAACAAACAGCTCTCTCAAAAAAGCCCTTGACCCTTCAGAACAGGTTTTCATGTTGCATAGTCCCACAGTACCCCACAGAGTTCTTTTATAGCAATTACTACAAATGTAGTTAGATTTAGCTGTGTAATTACATGTTTAATGCCTGTTTCTCCTATTGAAATGGAAGCTCTAGGAAGGATGAGACTATGGCTCTCTTCTTTTTGTTCCCCCATGTCTGTTTCCATCCCCCTCCTTGTTGTTGCCCGTATGTCCTTTGTAATTGGTCCTGTAAACCTTTCATCCTTTCCCCCATTATCCCCTCCTGAGCGGAATACATCACTGTCAGCCTGTTCTCAATTTTGATGTCTTTGGCTATACTTTGCTTGTTTGTTCATTTTGTTGATTAGGTTCCTGTTAATGGTGAGATCACATAGTATTTGTCTTTCACCACCTGGCTTATTTCACTTAGCATAATGCTCTCCACTTGCATCCATGCTGTTACAAAGGGTAGGAGCTCCTTCTTTCTTTCTGCTGCATAGAATTTCACTGTGTAAATGTACCAGAGTTTTTGGATCCATTCATTTACTGATGGGCAATTGGGTTGCTTCTAGCTCTTGGCTACTTAACTATTGTATCTGCAGCACTAAACTCCCACATCTGGCTGATAGAAAGATTATAATATATCTACCATTGGTGTTGATATGAAAACATGTCCATTATACACTAGATTTTTTTAAAATAAGTTAACAAATTATAGGCACAGTATAATTCCACTTCTGTGAAAAAAAATAATTCTATGGAGAATACTTATTTTAATTTTATCATTATTCAAGTACAGTTGTCTGCATTTTCCCCCTACTACTCCCCCTTACCCCAGCCATACCCACCTCCCTCCCTTGAGTCCACCACCCCTTGGTTTTATCTGCTTGTCCATGTGTCCTTTATATTTGTTCCTGAAATCCCTTCTCCCCCTTCTCCCCCTTTCCCCCTATTATCCCCTCCCACCTCCCCTCTGGTCACTGTCAGTTCTTAATTTCAATGTCTCTGGTTATATTTTGCTTGCTTGCTTGTTTAGTTGATTAATTTCCACATAAAGGTGAAATCATATGGTATTTGTCTTTCACTGCATGGCTTATTTCACTTAGCATAATGCTCTCCAGTTCCACCCATGCTGTTGCAAAGGGTAGGAGCTCCTTCTTTCTTTCTGCTGCATAGTATTCCATGGTGTAAATGTACCATTGCTTTTTGATCCATTCATTTACTGATGGGCACTTAAGTTACATTTAATTATTAATACTGAGAATATCTGGGGTTGGGTATATAACATTCTTATTTTACAGATTTTTGCATTACTTAAAATTTTTATAAAGATTTTAGTTATTTATTTTTAGAGAGCAGGAGGGAAGGAGAAAGAAAGGGAGAGAAACATCAATGTGTGGTTGCCTCTCTCGTGCCCCATACTGGGGACCTTGCCTGCAACCCAGGCATGTGCCCTGACTAGGAATTGAATCTGAGACCCTTTGGTTCGCAGGCCTTTGCTCAATCCAATGAGCCACACCAAGCAGTAGAGATTTTTGTACAACTTTTGATAATCAGAAAACACAGATGATAAACCATTTTAAAAATCCGTATAGCCCTAGACTGGTGTGGGTTAGTGGGATGAGTGTCATTCCACAAAGCAAAAGGTTACCAGTTTGATTCCTGGTTAGGACGCATGCCTGGGTTGTGGGTTCAGTCCCCAGTGGGTGTATGTGTAACAGGCAACCGATTGATGTTTCTCTCCCTTTCTCCCTCCATTCCCCTCCCTCAAAAAATAAATAAATATAATCTTTAAAAAATAAATAAAAATCACTACGAGGTCTTTGCTCCTATAATTCTGAAGTTATATTTTTCTGGATAACTATAGGTTTACTACTACTTTAAGCAAGAAAACAGGTATTTTAATAATTTTGGATGAGTACATCTCTAAAATATATACTTTTGTGGCTTCTTCAAGGGCATTTAATGTTCAATACATTTCTTTCTTTAATAAATGGGGTCAATTACCATCATTACTCTTCTTTAACACGTTCAGGACCTTTCAAATGGTTTGCAAGTGGGCCATAATGTTGGCTCTAAGCCTTTAAGACAACAGGGAGGGGCACAGGGAAGCCTGACTGTGGACCAATCCCTCCTGACCATTAGTTCACTCTAGCATTCGGTGCAGTACTGCCCTGTTCTACGTGTGTCATTACTTGAGGAAAAGTTGAAACCACTGGAATACAAAATGGATGTGGTATGTAAGAGTCCTTTTATTATTTTTCTGATTCCTCTCTTGTAATCGGAATATTATCTGACATTCTTACATGCCAACTTACAGGTTTCATAGTTTGGTGCTTCTATTTTGTTGTGAATTCAGATACCGGATAAACAGATTTTTAAAAAATTGTAATAAATAAGTATAATGGCTTTGAGTAATCCTGAGGCCCTTTTTTCTTTTAGAAAAATGATAAGCTTTAATGTATAGCATGTAAAACATCTTTCCTGGATATTTATATGTCTCCTGAATAATTCGTAATTCTCTGGTTCCTAAGAGCTGTCATTGCTAGACAGCCAAGGCCCAGGTATATGAAGGTGCTATCATAGACCTGCATTGTGAATACACACCTTTTCTAAAAACTACCCAAGGTTTCTTTGCTACCCTTTCCACATTAGGAAAAGATCAGATTTGAGTGAAGAATTCACTTTGGGTCTGAACTATTTTATTTTGTATTTATATTTATTTTACATTTTAGACTAAATTATTGCCAATTATGTGACTTGCATATAATCAAGCAAAATCTCTATGCTCACCATTGTGCTGGGTTTTTGTAGGGGACACAGAAGAATGGCATGATCACAATCCTTTTGTAACACCCATGTGATATTAATTGTTTAATATCTATTTACCTTGTTTTTGTTTTTAGAACAGAAAAGTTTAAGGTAACATAAAATAAAGGGCCAATGTAAGTTACATAGAGAATATAGGTGTCACTGAAATTGAGAAAGGGAAGAAATGTACTGTGAACTGAAGGGAGGAAGAATCTCATGTAGTTGGGTTTAGAAAGACAAAGAGCATTTGCACAGATGAAGAGAAAGAGAAAAGGCAATGTCAAGGACCATCAAGTTCTTCTACTAACACTTCTGGTACCTACTGTGAGAAGAAAATACAGGCATGCTGCAAAATTTATTGATCATATACTATATATCAAATGCTATATGACCAACATAGCCTCAAAGACCTCATAATCCGTGGGCTGATGGCAGGGAGTGACGGTGGTAGATGGACTCATAAATCGGATGGAGTACAGATTTAAAACAGTATAGTAGTTCTCATATTTTTTTTTAAAATAAAGGCCTGAAATGAAGAAAATGGATGTACTGTAACTCACGTTTTCTGTTTTAACCTTCCACCATCAGTATCTGTTGCGTGAGACTGTAACTTCTCTTCATCATCTGACTGTGCTGCGTCATTACTACAAGGGGAAGAAGTAATTTTAAAAGAAGCCACTTCCTTAACACTTTTGAAAAATCTCTCTATATACTTACTATAGAATTAGCTAATCAGAGTAAAAAAAGTCTGTTAAAATGCTTTATGTATGTTTAAGTTAAATGATGACTGAGAATTTATAAAGACTTGAAAAATTGAAGAACACAATCTTTAATCAAGGTGCAATGTACAAAATGGAAGTGGATGCAATTTAGGAACTTAAGAAAAACCTACAATAAACAAGGCTTTCTGATGGTTAAAACATGCTTACACAGAAATGACAAATTAACTTGTAAATATCTTCCTCCTCGCTCACCAGGCACATCAATGTCTTATACATTAAAAGCTTTGCTTTCACAGAAATTTTTCCTTAGATCTACATATATCCCACAGTAAAGTCAATTGCCTTCCTCTAAAGCCATTTTCTGACCCTCCAAATTATATGTAAAATTTCTGATCCTTAAGCAAGGTTTCAGAAGACTAGATGTTCATCCTGAACATGGCCTTTTAGCCTCAATAGGTTTTGATACTCTCTAGTATAATGTAAATAATATGAAAAGAAGAGAAACTAAATATTATGGGATTGAAGATATATACTATTTTCCCCCTAGTAATTGTACAGTCTTACGAGAGAACAAAATTTAAGAGTACATATTTTAAGTATTTTAATGGCAAATTTTTTTTTAAAAGTTGAATAAAACCAAATTAGGGACTGTCACAGTTCATTAACAGAGACATCTTCACCCTTCTGAATGAAATACTTCAAATGATAAATAGTCATGTTAGGTCATACCTTACATATTCTTTAGTCCTTCTCATGATGTGTAGAGTGAGAGGATTAATACCTGTTGGTAGTTTCTCTTCCGCAAGACTCAAAGGTATTTCTTCTCCAGTGTCCAGGTTCTTAATCATTACACTGGCTAAAATTTCCTGAGGTAAAAACATAACACCAAGAGAACTTACAATTTAAGTATATTTTTCAGTCTACAAAATCCTCAAAACTTCAAGTTAAGGACTTTCTTGATACATTCAGTGCTGTGTACAATAATTTTTAACATTTTTAGTGACATGCAATTCACACACTGCTAAACACACTCATTTAAAATGTAAATAGTTCAATGATTGAGTATAGTCACAGAGTTGTGCAACCATCACCATTATCTAAGTTCAGAACATTTCTATTACCCCAAAAAGAAATCCCAAACCCACTGGCTGTCATACCTTATTCCCCTTCCTTCCAGTTCTTGGCAACCACTGATCTACTTTTTTGTCTCTATGGATTCGCTTATTCTGGACATTTCAAATAAATTAAATCATATAGAGTGTGGTCTTTTTGATCGGCTTCTTTCACTCAGCACAATGTTTTCAAGGTTCATTTATTCTGTACACGTATCAGAACTTAATTCCTTTTATTGCCAAAAAATAGTCCATGTGCATGGATATACTACATTTTATTTACCCATTCATCAGTGATGGACACTGGTGTTGTTTCCATACTTTGGGTATTACGAACAACTGTGTATATTTTTTTATGGAGACATGTTTTCATCTCTCTTTTTTTAAAAATATTTTCAAATTTATTTTTAGAGAGAGGAGAAGGGAAGGAGAAAAAGAGGGAGAGAAACATCAATGTGTGGTTGCACTCCCTTCTGGGGACCTGGCCTGCAACCCAGGCATGTACCCTGACTAGGCATTGAACCAGCAACACTTTGGTTGGCAGGCTCACACTCGATCCACTGAGACATACCAGCCAGGGCATGTTTTAATTTCTTTTTGGTACATACACAGGAGGAGAATTTCTGTGTCATGGTAGCTCAATGCTTAATATTTTGAAAAACTGCCAGATTATTTTCCAAAGTATAGTAATTAAAAAAATGTGTTGTCTACAAGAAACAGAAACTACGATTTTGCTCATTCTGAATAAATTGACCAATAGATATATACTAAATCTTAGTGGTAAGAAGTATTAATTCTGTATGTACTACATCATCTCACAAGTATAGAAACATATACATATCTATAACATGAAGTTCTTTTTAAGCCCACTTTCTATAAAACATAGGCCTTGCTTTCAATACATTTATTCCACCACATAATTATGTAAAAGGGCAAGTTTAAGTCGAAGTTGCAAACTCCAAAATATTAAAAAAACAAAACCTAAGACAATCTTCACTTTCATTTTTATTCTATATTATGATTTTTTGCCTAACAATAAAATTATTTTAAATTATACACAATATAAAATTTACCATTTTAACAATTTTGAATTGTATAATTCAGTGGCATTCTTAAGTACATTCACATTGCTGCGCAACCATCGCCACCACCTACCTTCAGAGTTTTTCCACCTTCCCATTATTGTTTTTATATTTTGTTTTTAAGAACAAAAATATATATAATTATACCTCATCGGTAAGCTCTCTCCCAGAGTTGGATCTAGGTCTCTGAGGGCCCACCACTTCACCTGCTACTGTCTGCCCATCAGGTGCTTTTCCATTGTCCTGAAATTATAATTTAAAAAACAAAGTAGATGGAATCAATTTCTATAAATATTCAATTATTCATTACCACACATGGTTCTAAAACTTCCATTATTCAGATAATGGAACCTATGAAAATTTAAATGGAACACTCCATTTCAGCCCTTTATCACTCCCAGCATTCTGAAAAACATTAGGTACCAAAGCTACTGCAGCCCATGCAATAATGTGTTTGTAGTCTTGAAAGCAAATAAATGCGCTCTTTGAACCTGACCCAAAAACAGTTCTCTACTGGTAGAATGCTGGCAAAAAGATGCCATTAATCAGGGCTATATGTGTGGATATTTCAAAGGCAGCTGTCCGCAAACTTTTTCTGTGAAGAGCCAGGTAGGAAATATTTTAGGCTTTTTGCTTAATAAATAGTGTTTGTCAAGTATTCTTTAAAAAAATACCCTTGAAAATGCAAAGACCATTCTTAACTTGGGGACCCTACCAAAAAAGGCCACTGCCAACCTCTACTCCAAGGCTATGATAAGACTATTATAGTGTCTTATCTCCCAGTTTGCTAACCTGTCCCGATCACAGTTACCATATAAGTAACCCTTGAGTCTAAGAATTTGGCTATGGAAAAAGTTTCCATTATCAAGTCCTTCCCATGGCCTCGTGTGTGTGTGTGTGTGTGTGCGTGCGTGTGTCATAGTGTATGAAGTTGTTTTTTCCTTGATTAAGAAAAGGAAATTATAAAAAATAAAAGTCCCCAATTTTGTCCACTAGAGTTCAGGTTAATGAAGATCATAGGTGGTACTTAATATCAATATTACAAACAGCAGCATTTGTCATTTTCTAAATGCATACTACATGGCTAGAGACTTGGTACACTTTCATCCTTGCAAGAGACCTTCAAGGAAGACTTTCCTTCCATTTTATCAGTGGGGTATCTGAGATTCAGATGTTAAATAGCTTCCCAGAGTCACCCAGCTACTCATTAACAGAGCTGACAAGGGCTGTAAGGAGGCCAGGTTTGGGGGATAATGAAATATTTGGCCTGGAGAAGAAAGAAGATTTAATAATCAACAAACAAGCCAGTTTCAGAAAACTGATAAAAGCCTACATCAAAGGTAACATGAATTCACCAACATACCTGGGCAGTAACTATTTTATCTCCACTGGTAGCACTTGCCAAATCAAGAGAAGGCTGAGAATCCTTGACGGTACCCTCTGAAGCCATGTTTGTAGTTAGAGGATCAGATGTAATATTCTCTTTGGGAACTGCAATTAATAATAATGACAATAACAAATGTTCATAGAGGACATTATACATAGCTTCAAATGTGTTTTAATCTTTATTTGTCTGATTCTTATAACAACTTGTGATGAAAGTGGTTTTTATTACCCTTGTTTTACATATGGGGAAATCAGGATTCAAACAAGGTATTCAAACTCTTCAAGGCTGTAAAACTGAAACATTGAGAGGTCTAGTGCCCAATAAATTTAGAAATTAAAAAGAGATCTAGGACTTGAATTCAAATCTTAACTCTCAAATCCTATATTTTGTACACCATGCCACACTGCCTCTCCAATGGTAACAGATTTGAAAGTTCGAAGTCAACTGAAATGTTCAATTATAGTAATGTAACTAATCATCACTGTAAATGTTTTCACTTTTATTACTAAAATCATTTTTATAAGTCAGCCACCAATGTAGTTTACATAATATAAATTGAAACAAAATAAAAAATGTAAGTAAACAAGCTCAACTCAAAAACCTCCCCACAAAAATACTTATTTCTCAATTAATACTTGCCATCCAGATCAGGTGTTTTAAGAGCCTCCAACTCCAATTCACTTTTCTTTTTTCTTGGTGGTGGAGCAGGTCGAGATGGAGGTGGTGGTCTAGGAGGAGGGAAATGAGTTGGAGGGGGTGGACGTGCTGGAATAGGCTTCTTTGTACTAGCCACTATATCAGGTTCTGGAGTAAGTTGTCTTGGGGGTTTGGCAGGAGCCAAATCTTCCACAGTAGCACAATCTTTAGCAGACGAGGAGTTTGAGGATGCAGATTCTAGAATGTCACTTCCTTTGATTTCTACCGCTTCCTTGTTCAATACTTCCGTTTCAGTTTCAGGCACATTAAGCTGCTCAGTTGAACTTATTTCATTTAACTTAGTGGTTTCATCTACTGGCTTCTCACAGGCGTCCTCAGAAGGAAAATCTTTTTTTGATTCTAATTCAGTTTCTTCAGATGCATTCTGACTCTCTTCCCTTTTGGAATCTTCCTGTAGTGCTTGATCTATGGCTAACAATCCAGGTATATTGCTAAGATCTGTCCCAGCCACGAGAGGACCGCCAGTAGCCTGATCAGAGTGTCCTTTTCCTTTGGAGTCCAAAGAGTCATCTTCAAGCTGTAGTACTTTCTGACTCTCCTCAATAATACTTTCAATAATCTGATGAAAGGTTAAAAAGCAGTTTAAAAAAAATGAAACCATTTACAAGAACATAATAATAGCTAATTATTTATATAGTACTTACTATATGCCAGACAATGTTCTTAACACTTTACATATTTTAATCTATACAACAACCTTAAGAGGTAGCACTCTTACTATCACCACTATACAAAGGAAGGCGCTAAGGCATAGGGGGACCTGATGATTTTTCTGAGGTTGCAAAGTTTGTAAGCGATGAAGTTGGCATAAACCTAGGGAGACTGGTTCTGTAGTCTTAACTATTATAATAGGGAATCTGTGTCAGTATATGTAATCACAAAAGCTCAGCTAACCTTGAATAATAAAGTTCAAACCTGCCCTGGTCAGTGTGGCTCAGTGGACTGAGAGACAGCCTACGAACTGAAAGTTCACCAGTTTGATTCCCAGCCAAGGTGCATGCTTGGAGTGCAGGCCGGGTCCCCAACTGGGGGTGTGTGAGAGGCAACCAACTGATGTTTCTCTTTCTCCCTTCCCATCTCTCTAAAAATAAACAAAATCTTAGGAAAATAAAGTTCAAACCTAAATTTACATTCAGACTCTTCATGTCATAGTTCATATACATATTTATGCCAAGTTAGTTGTAGTAGCAGCCTGCTGATCTGAGCCTAGTTAACAAAATCACAAGAATCAAAACCACCTAGTACAAGACTTCAAGTTGTTTATCTCAAGCCAATGACAGAAAAAGCCAGCAGATACAAGAAGGTTAACATTATCTTTTTATTTTAATTATTATTATTTTTGTTGTTGTTCAAGTACAGTTGTCTAAGAAGTTAACGTTCTTAAACAGAATACACCTAATATCCCACTACGAAGAGGGATGGCAGGACCATGAAGCATTCAAACACCTAACTCACCCTGCCTTTTCCTCCCTTTACTTCTTATCTATAGCTAAAAAACACAGGCTTTCTATGTATTCTACCAACATTTTGAAGAAAATATATTTTCTATCCAGTCTTGTCCTTGTTAACACAATATATCTTGCAATCCACTTATCTCTCCACCGTGTCTGACCATGGATGACTTCTGCTTTCTCAATACTCTGGCTCCAGAAAGATAACAGAATGCATCACATGCTAACTCAAACTGGATGTTATTGCTGTTGAATAATATTCATTCCTGATTGCCCAGCACATCCCATATATTACTTTTGCTCAACCTTCAAATATTTAATCCTAGAAGCACATCACTTTTACCAGAGCAATATTAACTAGAGTCCACCTAATTTGATAATCAGGTGTAGCATTGAGTGCCTTAGTGATAGCAGAAGCCAGATTACAGTAGGTTTAAGAATGAATGAGAAGTGAAAAAATAGGCAGCTAGCACGGTCCATGGTTTTCAAAACCTTGGCAATAAATGGAAGAGGATGTAAGAAAGTGACCCAGCATTTTTATAAATTGAGGGGAATGGGCCAAAGGAAAGGAAGGTAACAAAGTTCTGGAGAAGAAAGGACACGGTCTATTACGCACTAGATTCAGGGCACACATTCTTTAATTAATCATCATACAAACCCTGTGAGGTGGTTGAATTACCTCCTTTCTTCAAAAGCACATATCTGAGGTAAAGGCATTAAGAATTTTGCCCAAGGTTCCAGAGCTAGTAAATTATAAACTCAAAACTGAAATTCAGGTTTTTCTAAAAAAAAAAAAAAAACAAACCCAAAAACCTACAGTTCTTTATGTTTAAAAGATTTTATTTATTTATTTTTTAGAAAGGGGAGAAAGAGAGGGAAAGAAACACTGATGTCGGAGAAAAACAATCGCTTGCCTCTTGCACTCCTCCTACTAGGGACCTGGCCTGCAACCCAGGCATGTGCCCTGACCGGGAATCAAATCAGGGACTCTTTGGTTGGCAGGCTGGCACCCAATCCACTGAGCCATATCAGCCAGGCAAATCCACAGTTCTTTATATTATACCACAGTACTTTGGGCAGGAAAATAAAACTAAATTCTTAACAATTACATGAAAAAGAGATTCAAGATGGAAGCAGGTTGGAAGGTAAGGGAAATATGAGATGATGAAAATGAGTGAATTCAGGTTTCTTAGCCTTTGAAGCCTATATGTAGTAGGAAACAAGGTCATCTGCTGAAAATGAGTGGGATACAAGTGGGCACAGTGAGCATGTGGTAAATGTAAAGGTTTGAAATAATCACTATGCATAATGGAAAGGCCCATGACATTAGAGGGGTCAAAATGAGGTAAAGAGTCTTAAGTAAGGCCCTGATTGGTGTGGCTCAGTGGGATGGGTGTCATACCACGAACCGAAAAGCTACCAGTTTGATTTTCAGCCAGGTTACAAGCCTGGGTTGTGGTCTCTGATTGGGAGTGTGTGAGAGGCACATTGATGTTTCTCTCTCTCTCTCTCGCCCCCACCCTTTAAAAATAAATGAATAAAATCTTGTTAACACAATAAAATCTTTAAAAAAAGAAACTCATAACTCATCCCTAATCCTTTATCTGAGAATGATCTCTCCCTTCTCTGAACTCCTATCATTCTTACTGTTCACTACAGTATGAACTATAATATAAATACATAGTAGTATATGGGCTAGCTCTGTATAAATATTTTCTCCACAGAGGATGATTAGTTCCTGGGAAACAAGGCCCATATTTTCTAACTCTTGATATGCCCCCATAACATTTATTTACCATGTTTACCCCTGTATTTTTCCTCTGGGTTTTAGGAGGTTAGCAAAGAAGGAAAGAGCAAGAGAACAATGAGAATCAAAACCAACATGGAGATGATCATGCTAAAGCAGCTGTTTCCTTCACGTCACCTCTCTGCTTCAAAAAATTCACTGCTTTTCCAGTAATTATAAAATAAAAACCAGACGTCTTAATATGACATAACGCATTCCCATAATCTGGCCTTAACTTTGGTCTCTAGACTCATCCTTAAATATTTTGCACGCTTGTCATCTCTATGCCTTTCTTTGGGTATGCCTTTTCTCTCCCATCTCTGCCTGTCCAAATCTTACATATTCATCAAAACCAGCTCAGATGCTACTTCCTCCATGAAGTTTTCCTTATTCCTAACCCCCAAAAGGAAGCAGAGTCCCCTTTTGTGTTCTTATAATAGTTTCTAAGCTTTCTACATTACATTCAGCTCTGTATTTATCTACTGGATTGGCCCAAAAGTCCATTTAGTTTTTTTTCCATAAGATAAAAGACATGTTTTTCATTTTCACCAATAACTTGATTTTGATATTTAAAGTATGTCAGTTATATCCTGCATGGTATAACGTTGACTGTTCTCAATTAATGTCTTGATTGGACTGCTATCAACTTCAACTGGTCTACCTGACTGTGGAGCATTGTCCAGTGAGAAATCTCTAGCACAAAACTTCGTAAATTATTTTTGACATATTTGATCAGTCACTGTTCCTTTTCCATAAACCACACAAATTTTTTTTCCTTTCAGGTGTGTTTTTACCTTTCCTGAAATAATAAAGCACAATATACTGAAAATGTTATTTTCTTCTGCTTCAATATTAAAATGGCTAAACAAAATCACCAATTTTGATAAATTTTAAATATAACCTGATAAGACAGCTGTCACAATACATTGTAACAAAATTGTTTTGAATGAAGTTAAAGACAACTAAGTGCTACTAGAGCCATCTTACGAAAAAAAAAACCAAACGAACATTTTGGCCAACACAATAGTTTTCCTCCTCTATTAAAATGTAAGCTACTGGGGGCAGGGACCTGTCCTGGTGCAGGGTACATCTCCGCAGCCTTTATCATTAACATGATACTTAATGCACCTGAAAAGGCTAGCACTTGCAAAGTGATACCTGGAGTCTTAAGGCACATTCTCTGTCCCACGGTGTTTACTCACTAGTTTCGCCGCTTCTAAACTCTCCTTAAAAACTGTTTTTCTTCTACTAACTACAGATAGTTACCCATTTATCCTAAGGAAAAAATTCTTTTTTTTAATAATTAATTTTATTTAGTTATTTTTCAAGTGCAGTTTTTTGTCTATTTTTCCCATCCCAGCCTCCCCCGCTAAGGAAAAAATTCTTAAGAAGGGAAAGAAAAGTTCTAGTGGAAAAAACAGAAACATTTCAAGTTTTTGCCAATAAAAATGGCTAGACACATGTGTAAATACATGTGGAATCTGTATTATATATCAAATATAATACTTGATGGAATCTGATATCAAATGAACACTGAGTATTGAAATGATGTAGAAATATGATGAAAATCTAAAAATGGTAAGAGAAAAAGGTAGAATACAAAATCCTATTTCCACTACTATTAGAGAAAAAAGGGAAGGAATGCTGAGAAATCAAGATAGCTGTTTGTTGCAGTGCATACTGTAGGCAATTTATGATTTTTAAAAAACGTACCACTCTTATTATTTATGCTAATATACAACGCCATCATTTCTCCCCAAAAGAAAAAAGCATGATCAATATTAAAATATGTAGTCCATTAAAATTTTAAATTCCATAAAGTAGGATCTCCATTGGGGGTGATTTTGCATGGGACCCTTCCCTAGACACTTGGTGATATATGGAGATATTTTTGGTTGTCATGATGGGGTGGAGGGAACCTATTGGCATCTAGTGGGTAGAAGTCAGGGATGCTGTTAAACATCCTACAATGCACAGAAGAGTCTCCCCTTCCTTCTACAACAAAGAATAATCCTGCCCTTGCCCTGGCCACGTGGCTCAGTTGGTTGGAGCACTGTCCCATGCACCAAAAAGCTGGGGGTTCCATTCCCAGTCAGGGCACATACCTAGGTTTCTGGTTTGATCCCCGGTCAGTGTGTATACGGGAGGCCACCGATTGATGTTTATCTTTCACACTGATGTTTCTCTCTCTCCCTCTCTCTCTTTCCTCCTCTCTCTCTCTCTCTCTCTCTCTCTCTCTCTCTCTCTCTCAAATCAGTAAACATATCCTCAGGAGAGGATTAAAAAAAGGAAAAGAAAAGAAAAGAAAAGAATTAGCCAGCCCCAAATGTCAACAGTGTCCCTGCTGAAAAACTCTAGAGTAGAAAATGTATCATCTTGTTGGTTTCTGGAAACGTATTGACTAGAACACTGCTCGAGGTGCAGAAAACATTCAACATAAATGAATGAAAACACACCATCCTTTCTGTTATGGTTTTATCTGGACACTTCAAACTACTCCATCGTTCAAATGTTTATCTTGCGCTCAGTCTCTTCTAGTAAGCCAAACTCTGAAGCTTCATAGCACCAATTCTTTTTTTTTAGTTTTAAAATACAAGTTAGTTTATTTTTATTGCTGTCTGAGTAATGGAATATTAAGGTATTCTTTCAATTCCTTCAATTCTTAACAGCTTTTCTTTAGTAAAATAGCTATTGGGCATCTACTTTCCATTTGGTATTCATATAATTATTAAGATTCACTGTAAAATGAATCATGTGAAACATCATGCATTAGTTTTAAAAGGTGAAAACTAGAAATGTTGAAAGACTTGAGAATTTTCCCCTAAACATTCAAATACAACAAAATGAAAATTGCAAATGATGAAAGACACTCCACACAGAAATAAAGTCCAGTTGAACTCTTGGAAATGTATGATGGTAATACTGCAATTACTTTTTGAACAAACTTTTTGAATACAATGTTATGACATTATTACAGTTTGATTCATTAGTCTGCTTCGTACACAGATTTCTAAAAGTAGTGGAGAAAGAGGAACCCTTTTGCACTCTTGGTGGGAATGCAGATTGGTACAGTCACTATGGAGAGCAATATGAAGAGACCTCAAGAAATTAAAATAGAACTGATTCTACTTCTGGGTATATACACGAAGAAACCCAAAACAATAATTCAAAAGAACATATGCATCCTTATGTTCATTGCAGCACTATTTATAATAGCCAAGATTTGGAACCAGCCCAAGTATCCATCACTAGAAAAGTGGATACAACAACTATGGAAAATTTATATAATGAAATATTACTCAGCTGTAAAATTTTTTAAAAGGTATCAAAGGTGCTATGAGAGTAATGAATTCTTATAATGTCCAACATCTACAGAATTTGTTACATGGAGCTTTTCAATACCATTAACTTTTGGTAGTAACCTTGGGTAGTTATAACTTATTTTAAATAAGACTGCAGGCCTAAAAAATAAAGACCCATTACAAAATATTTTTCTAAGTAGTGTTTCAAACCAGAGGGGAAAGAGGCTGGGAGAAGGTTGAAGAGGATAAAGGGAGTCAAATACATGGTGATGGAAGGAGACTAAACTTTGTGTGGTGAGCACACGGTGCAATATACAGATGATGAATTACAGAGTTGTACACTTGAAACTTATAACCTTATTAACCAGTGTCACCCTAATAAATGTAATAATAAAAATACCGTTTCAAGGATAAACTACCAATTACTAAGTAACTTCTAAAAAGCCTGATGCCATCTTCAATCACAAATTCAACAGATTCAAGGAACATATACTGAACATCCAGCACACAGAAAGCATCATAGTAAAAGAATACAGAAATTTCCCACTTTAAATATACCATGTGAAAATAAATAAAATGAAAAAATAAATGCCATGTAAACAAAAACTGCTAAACTAATATTGACATTCTACCTTACCAACCTTTTTAGACACATCTTGTTTCAATTCTTGTACAGGTGACTCATTTCCAACTTTGTGTGGAGTGTTCTCTGTTTCCTATTTTAAAACAAAAGAAACAGAGACCAAATGATATGTTTTTTAAAACTGTTTAAAATGAGTACAAATTAGAAAATGTAGCATTGAAAAATCAAAAGCCCATAAAGGGCTTAAATGTCTGTATACTGATACATGCCCAGAAATTTTATGCCAACTGGGACAATATGACTTGCAAAGAAGGTTATTAATCATCATTTTTTAAATTTTCTACTGCAATTGAATGTTTCCCTTATAAGTGCCCAACTTTTTAATCTTAAAAACTGTACAGGAAGGTAAGAACTACTAAGTACTTTTGCAGCATAAAAAGATTAAGGATTTAAGCAACAGTAACAGAATTGTTATTTTCCCCAAAGTATTGCTCTATAAATATGCATAAATACAAAAGTACATAATGCAGAAAACCACATTCAGACACTTGTTTTCTTAAAAACTTTATATGCTTTAGATAAAAGGAACAGAGACTTAACCAGAAATTAAATGAAGTCCCCCCAAACAGTAACAGATGAATGAAATTAAACCCACCAAAAATACATATATATCTACGTATACATTCATATATACATACGTACATATATATATATATTTGGGAGGTTAGAGAAGGTAGAAATGGATACTGCATTTTTGCTGGAAAAAATCTGGGTAAAATAAGTCTACTGTAACACATTTCTTCTCCACCTTGTCTTTACATTTATAGAAGTACAGCAATTTGAATAGGACTCCTGATACTGAGAAAAAAAACTACTCATAATTCTTGGAGCACACCACAGAGCTTGTTAAAGAAGGCTAGTATACTCAGCTTTTTGTCAGATATGGCAAAAAGCACATAAGAATGTATGTAAGTATCAGGATACCAAGAGATTATTATAATGCTGAAGATACAATGTGCTAGAGAAATTTCTGTAGGACTTCCAGTATCTTCAGGCTGACAAGCTGTTTCACTGAATTCCTCCCCGCATTTGGGGAATACCTCCAACCTTATATAGTTTCTACTAGAAAAAACTGTTTCATGGAATTTTAAATGTGAGATAAAATTGAAACTCTATTACGTTGGCCCATGAGGGCCTACCATGATGTTGTGCCTGCCTACATCTTTGACCTCATCTACAGTTCTCACCTCCCTATCCCACTAAAACTCCACAATTGCACTTTGGCTAACTGGATGGTTCCTTACCAGCCTTAGGGTCATAGCTCAAGGGTTATTATATCAGAACAGGTTCCCAGATCACCCTAAAACAGCCTCGCGCCCTTAAATTTCTATCACATTATCTGATTTTCTTTTTCTTCTTTGCACTTAGCACCATCTTAAATGACCTCGTTTACTTATCTTTTGTCTCCTCCCTAGCTCACTAGAATGTTAACACCACGAGAGCAGGGACCTTGTCTGTTCTATCTACCACTACTTACCTAGTACTTAAAACTGTGCCTGGCAAAAGCAATCATTTACTTGAATGAATGTTGAATAATGCATATCCTGACTTTTCTTCAATTAGTACACATATCTTAAGGTGGTCAAAGGGTACAAACTTCCGGTTAGAAGATAAATAGGTACTAGGGATGTAACAAACAACACAATGACTATAGCTAACACTGCCACTTGACATACAGGAGAGTTGTTAAGAGAGTAAAAAGTTCTCTTCACAAGGAAAGTATTTTTTTCCTATTATTTTCTTTCTTTTCTTTTTATTGTATCTACATGAGAAGACAGAAGTTAGTGGAATCTATTGCGGTAATCATTTCACAAAACATATAAATCAAACCATCATGCTGTGTGCTTTAAACTTATACAGTGATGTATGTCAATTATATCTCAATAAAAGTGAAAAAAGGGAAAAATAATTAATGCATATCAGAGAAATACCGTCGACTGTCCTACAAATTAAGTATAAGTATTCAATTATCCTTCAATAACTGTTCATTAGCAGGAATATCAGAAGCACTGAACAAATGAATTCTGTGAATATTTTCCCTAAATTAACCTAAGCAAAATTACACACAGATAGTTCCTGTACCTCAATTTAATTTGTTTGAATTAACTGCAAAGATCACAGATGAACATTCTTTTTATTTACATTTTTTCTTTTCTTTAATTTATTGTTGTTCCGTTACAGTTTTCTCACCTCCCCCCCTTGCTGTCCCCTGCCCTGAGCCCCACTTCCAGAGTCAATTCCTTCCATTGCCCATGTCCATGAGTCCTCTATTCCTGTTCCTCTGCTAGCTCCTTCCTTTTCTTTTCCCATTATCCTCCTCCACCCTCCCCTCTGGTCACTGTCAGTTTCTTCTTTATTTCAAACTCTCCAATTCTATTTTGCTTATTTGTTTGTTTTGTTGATTAGGTTCCACTTATAGGTGAGATCATATGGTATTGTCTTTCACCACCTGGCTTATTCACTTAGCATTCTTTCTTTTTAAAAGATTTTATGTATTTATTTTTAGAGAGAGGGGAAAGGAGGGAGAAAGAGAGGTAGAAAAACGTCAGTGTGTGGTTGCCTCTTACACACCCCCCCACTGGGGACCTGGCCTGCAACCCTTTGATTGGCTGGCACTCAATCCACTGAGCCACACCAGCCAGGGCTCACTTAGCATTCTTAAAAAAAAAAAGATTTTATTTATTTATCTTTAGAGGGGAAGGGAAGGAGGGAAAGAGAAATATCAATGTATGGTTGCCTCTCGTGCATCCCCCTGCTGGGAACTGGCCTGCAACTCAGGCATGTGCCCTGACTGGGAATCAAACCATGGTTGTTTGGTTCGCAGGCCCATGCTCAATCCACTGAGCTATACCAGCCGGGAGCATTCTTATACTGACCAAAACTGTAAGCAGTGATTAGACTTCTATTTTATTTGGCTTTAACAAAACTGTCTTAGACTTTGAACTTTTAAAAGCAATCAACTCTTGTAAGTTAAACTGTTATTATGTCATAATTTCACAGGAATGATACGGTACCTACCAGAGGATCTGATCTCTAGAGCAGTTAAATTGAAACATTTCTTAGTAAAATCTCACTTAGTATACCTATCTATCTATCTATCTATCTATCTATCTATCTATCTATATTTAGCATAGATATACCTATATAGATATGTATAGAGACATACATCTATATATCTCTCTACAGACATACATCTGTATCTATATATAGGTCATATACAATTCTCTCCCAGTACTGTCTATAAGGTCCAGATCTTCCCCTAGCACCTCAATCAGGCTTTGGGGAGAAAGCAATAGAAGCCAAGCATGTGCCTGAGGAAAACTAACACCAATTTAGCTAGACTTGAGACAGTCTCCATTTATTATGCCTTCTGGATTTGGGATGTCCCATTACTAAAGCCCAGTACCTATGAAATCTCAGCCTCCCACTATCAGGCCATTTTTCTAACTCCTATCTATCATAGCCTCAGAAACACACTTTTTTAAGAAAGTGTGGTAGATCATTCAATTGCTAGCAATTCATACCACCTCCATTTGTGTTGGATTTCAGAGAGCTGCTTGGACTCTTCCTTACAGTATTGTTATAAGATTTGAGCTTTTAACTTTTAGCAAGCACATATAACAAAAGACTAACTCAGTTTCACAAATCATTTGTACCAATGTGATATACACTCAAAGAAGAAGAAAAAAAACAAGAAACGACTCTTAGTTATCATATTCATCCATCCATTTGTATCAACACTATCCCTTTCTCAGAGTCTTATTTATGTTTTGACACTCTAATTGCCTCCTAACAACTCTCTCTCTCTGCACTTAGTCTCTTTCCTCCAAACATTCTTCTGCCCTTCTACCACTTTTCTTTTGTTAATTCCCCAGCAAAAACCTTGGAGAACACAACTGTAACACATACAAAAAGTGACGTTTAAATGTCTTTCTTCAAAATGTTAAAGCCCAGAGTTTTTAACCTGACATCCAAGGCTCATTAGGTATGGCCCCAATTTACTTTTCCCACAGTCTATAACTGAAATGTTTGCATGAGTCTTTCAATGCTCCCAGCAAATTCTTTGCATATTAATTAGTTCATACTATTGCCGAGTATACCATGCTTTCCCAATTTTTCTCTATCTACCTATACAAATCTCTCCCGGTTTTCAAAGCCCAGCACAAGTTCTACCTCCTCCCTGAAACTTTGCTCTGCTATTCCAGGTAACAGTGCTCTCATGGTCACCTAGTCTCTCCCTTCCTCCTCCAAACTCCTGGTAGCACTTACGGTCTATTCTACCTTTGAACATCAGTACCTCATAGGTCATCCCTTTGTATACATGTCTGTTCTGTGAGGTTATTAAATCATCAAATATTGAGACTACATGAAATTTTTCTTTGGATTGCTTAAGATATCAATCAATATGCTGTTATACACGATATGTATTCAATGGTCTGAGGAAATCCATGACATTGAATATACTTTAGAGTGAGAAGGAACAAACCACTGACACATGCAACACCTTGGATGGATCTCAATTCTTTCAGCTAATCTCAAAAGGTCACACACTATATGATTCCATGTATAGGACATTCTCACATGACAAAATTATGGTGTCAGAAAACAGATTAGTGGTTCCTTAAGGTAATGAATGATGGGGGAAGTGGCAGGTGTGACTTTATACACAGGTAGCAAGCACAAGGAAGATCTTTGTGGTGATGAAACATCTGCATCTTAAGTATGGTGGTGGTTACACAAATATACACATATAATATGACATAGAACTATACATTCATACTGCACCAATGTCAAATTCCTGGCTTTGATATTGTACTATAAATAAAATATAACCCCTAGTGAAATAATTGGGTGAAGGATACCAGGACTTGTCTGTACTGTCTTAGTACCTCCCTTCAGCTCTATAATAATTTCAAAATAAAAAAAGAACAATATCCAACTTCATATTTACTAAATATGTACATTGTTTATCTAATTTTATTCAAGTTAAGGACAATCTATAATTACCAACATAAAGTGAAGTCCCCAAACCAATTTTTATAACATAAAAACATCTTAGAGCTAAGTGGCTTTTAAAACCTATAAACATAATAAATAGGAATAGTCTTTGGAAATGGGGATCGGGAAGATGAGGGATGGCAGGGTAGTTGCGTACTCAATCATCTACTTTTACACTAAGCAAATTTGATCCATATCTGTATCTTACTTTAAAAATTGTTTTTATTAAATAGAATATAAAAGGATTTTTATAAAATATAAGAAAGAATTATGATATAACCTTTCTTAATCATTCAATTTAAGAAAAAGAACATTGTTACCATTGGCTTTCAAGTCTCTTATATATCCTTGCCCAATGTCCTTACATTCTTTCCCTCTTAGAGGTGACTGATATGCTAAAGTTTGTGTTTATCATTCCTCTGCTACTCTTTTTAGTTTCAATATGCTTGTAACTCTAAACAATATATTCTTTAATTTTGCATGTTTTTGAACTGAATATAAATGGAATATTATTGCATATATTTTTCTGTGAATTTCCCCCCGACTAAACATTATGGTGCTATCCATGTTATTATTGTATATAGCTAACTCATTGATATCCACTACTGTAGAATATTCCATATAAATATACCACAATTTATAAAACACATCACTATCCAATGTGTATAAGAAGGTAGGGACACTGGAAGTGGAAAAAATAAAGCATGTGTGAGATTATAGATACATATGCAGAGACATACACAACACAAAGAAACATATACAAACACACGTAGTATATATTTTATTTGATGTAAAACATCAAACATCAAAGAATATCTATTTGGTGATATTCCTCTACTTAAAATGGCTTTCAGTGATATAATGTCTTCATACCAAATTCTTTTCTTTAGATATAATGCTGGAAATGGTTTTCATATATGTGATGATATCAATGTATGTGCCCATAAAAGTATACAAGTGGCCCTGGCTAGTGTGGCTCAGTGGATTGCATGCCCGCCTGTGGACCAAAAAGACACAGATCCTATTCCCAGTCAGAGCACATGCCTGGGTTGCAGGCCACGTTCCCAACAGGGGGCATGTGAGAAGCAACCACACACTGATATTTTTCTCCCTCTCTTCCTCACTTCCCCTCTGTCTAAACATAAATAAATAAAATCTTCAATAAATTTTTAAAAAGTATACAAGTTTTTGGTTACTCCACATTTTGTCATGCAAATATTACTTTTTCAATTAAAACACACACACAAACACAAGTATTTTACAGTGTCCTCCTATTCTAAAAATTATAATCCAACTAAAAATTAGGTAAAATCTAAAAAATATTTATAGTCCCTTCCTTACAGTACAATATATGATTAGATATTTCTAGAGGACTTAATCACACCTAGTAAAATACAAAGACAATATTATTTAGCAAAAAACAAGGAACAGAAAGCAAAACAAAAAACTGAAGAATTACATAAAAGAGAAAAATGAATGAAAAGTGTATACTTTGGAAAAATATAATTTTCAGAAAGCACAACTTACCTCTAATGTTGAAATTCCAACCTTTTCTGAAGATCTGTTCGGAACAAAAGCAAAATGTTATTGAATAGTGCAGGTGAGAAGGGAAATACTATATACTTATTAAAAACAAGTTCACGTTCAAAAAAGAACATATAAACTTTGTGATTAAAAAGTCTATGTGCATATAGAAAATGTAGAAAACATAAAAAATGTAGAGAAGAAAATTGAAGTGACCCATAATATTACCATGTAGAAATTTGAGTATTTTTTGTGTTCCCAGATATATAACAGGGTTGGTCAAAAGTAGGTTTACAGTTGTTCATATGGAAACTAATATAATGATTAATAAACATAAGAATAAACTGTGTTTCATGAACTTATAACTATAAACCTACCTTTATCCCTCCCTGTATATGACATAATATAATAAGCATTTTCCTAAAGAAAATTTTGTGTTCTTCCATGATAAATTTCTTTAAATGTCTCTGGAAGTAGAACTGCAGTCCAACAGCTGAGCATTTTGAAAAACTTTTAACTTGCCCTCCAGAACATTTGTGCTAGTTTATTCTTACTGTTTTGAGTCCATATTTATTTAACATCTGCCAAAAAGGAGTGTTATTTTTAAAATTTTACATTTTGATAGAAAGTATATCTCATTGTTTTCTTAATTTGATATATAATGTGGATTAAAAGTTTTATATGCATTAGACATTTCCAGTAATTTTCAAGACAGTAACCCAGTTTTGTTTGTGGCTCATTTTTCTACTGGAGCAAAACTCTATGATTAAACACAGACTATTGTAGACATAATAATTTTTAAAGTATGTTTCACCAATTATTATCACATACCCTCATCACATTTTTCCTCAAGTAAGAACAGTTTGATATCTACTACAAAGCATAAAGAAGAGACATACCCTTAGAGCTGCTTAATGTATTTTACGGTTCTGCAGTAAAAACCACTTTCAAATGATTAATATTAGTATGCCATTCCTAATTTTGTTTTGTAAAATGCAATGATCACAGATGATACAACTTTGTGTTGAAAGGCACCTTCAAGATAATCTAATCACACAGCTTCTGTTGACAGAAAAAAACTGAGGTGCTGAGAGATTGACTTTCCCCAAAGTCACATATTTAGGAGCAGAACCAAGAAAAGCACTGAGTCCTAGTAAATAGTAATCTGTATTTAGTAGAGGAATGCTTGACCTTTAATCGAAACATAGTGTGATAAAAATCACTTTTGCCTTTTAACAGAAAATGAATCCCTTTATTAAAAAATATTTATGGAATGCCTACTATGTACCAGGGACTAGAGATAGGAAGGTGAATAAAACACAATTCTAGTTTAGGGGGTTTTAAGGATTGTTTAAAAAAGGTAGCTGTAGAAAATGGTGCCTGCTCACTTAATTGCAATGCCTAGACAATACATTTTCATATTAACAAAGTACAATTTCCAGAAATGAACATTTTTATACCCCCAATTATTTGGTTTCTCTGGCAAACCTATACTGCTATGTCACAAAATCATGTTTATCCAGATGATTAGAACTAAGGGTATTCAGGTGTTTCACAAAAATCAATACAAAGTATATCTGCAAAATACAAGTGCAATGAGAACAAAAATAAGAAAAACAAAAACCTTGAAGGAGATCATATTTCCAGAGGGCACATAATCTTAAGTGCCAATAAGGGGGGAAAAATCACCTGCCACTGAAGTGTAGCAGTAAGAGAAAATAGGATTAAAAACAAAAAACAAAAAAACTTAAGCTCCATATGAAGTAGAGAAGGGAAGAAAAAAATATTCTGCTTTCCCCACATCCTTCATTTTGAGAAATCTGACCAGGTTTTTAGATGGCTGTCTAAACAAATAAGACAAAATAAAAAACAGAACAGGGAGTCACATCTATCTTTTGTATGGTTCCATAATGAGTCCTTTCTGGCTGTTGACTCATAGGATCTAAGTTATTGACCAATTGTTGACACACACAGAAATATTTCAGATTGGTTCTGGTGGGGCTTCACATATAGCTGTGTACAAACTACAAAGAGTAATTTATTATGTCCTCCTGAGAGACAAGGGGGCATAGTGAAAAGAGCATGGATTTTCAAGCACATGAACTTTGCTTGAATAGTGTTTCCACCATTTCCCCTATGTGTGATCTTGACCAAATTAATTTTTGCAGGCCTCAGTCTCCTCCTCTGTGAAAGGGAGTAAAACCACCTACTTCACAGGACCACTACAAGGATTAAGTGAGAGAGAACATGAGGCACACATAATAGGTGGTAGTTTCTTTAGCGGCTTTGAATTGCTCCATTGAAACTCAAATGATGAACTTCACTAAGTTTGTCCAAGGCACTCTGGCAGTCTGTCAGGAGTGGGAAGAGTGAGATCAATTTCTGGAACAGGAATTATACACTAAAGCCTGACAAGCTCCAGCCTACTTAACAACAGGGAAAATGGAAAAAAAAGCCAGATTATATTGAGCTGGTGGTAACATGGGCTCCTGCGTGCATTTGATGATGTCATTAAACAAAAAACTAATTACAAAAGACACTCATGTCGAAACACATTTTGAATGTTACACGCATAAGACACTTAAAAAATTCTATTTTATTGATTATGCCATTACATTTGTTCTATTTCCCCTCCTCCATTCCCCTCCACCCTGAACACCCCTCCCCCACCATTCTTCACCCTTTAGTTCACGAACAGGTGTCTCAAGTTCTTTAGATTCTATATTTCCCATACTATTCTTACCCTCCTCCCTATCTATTTTCTATCTACTCTCTATACTACTTATTTTCTGTACCTTCTCCCCCTTCTCCTTCTCCCACTCCCCTGTTGCTAACCCTCCATATGATCTTCATTTCTATGGTTCACTCCTGATCTAGTTGTCCTCTTAATTTGCTTTTGTTTTAGGTGTGGTTGTTAATAACTGTGAGTTTGCTGTCCTTTCACTGTTCATCTCTTTTATCTTCTTTTTCTTAGGTAAGTCCCTTTAACATTTCATATAGTAAGGGCTTGGTGATGATGAACTCCTTGAATTTGATCTTATCTGAGAAGCACTTTATCTGTCCTTCCATTCTAAGTGAAAACTTTGCTTGATAGAGCAATTTTGGATGTAGGTCTTTGGTTTTCATGACTTGGAATACTTCTTTCCAGCCCTTTCTTGCCTGTAAAGTCTCTTTTGAGAAATCCACTGACAGTCTGATGGGAACTCCTTTGTAGGTGACTGTCCCCTTAGCTCTTGCTGCTTATAGAATTCTCTCTTTCATTTTAATCTTGGCTAATGTAATTATGATGTGCCTTGGTGTGTTCCTTCTTGGGTCCAACTTCTTTGGGACTCTCTGAACTTCCTGGATTTCCTGGAAGTCTATTTCCTTTGCTAGATTGGGGAAATTCTCCTTTACTATTTGTTCAAATAAGTTTTCCACTCGTGGATGTTCCTCTTCCCCTTCTGGTACTCCTATAATTCAGATGTTGGAACATTTAAAGATGTCCTGGAGGTTCCTAAGCCTCTCCTCATTTTTTTGAATTCTTGTTTCTTCATCCTTTTCTGTTTGGTCATTTTTTTCCTCCTTCTGGTCTACTCCTTTGATTTGAGTCCCAGTTTTCTTTCCATTACTATTGGTTTCCTGTGCATTTCCATTCATTTCAATTAGTTTAGCCTTCATATGTTGCTCTAATTTGTGACTATAATCAACCAGTTCTGTGAGCATCCTGGTCACCAGTGTTTTGAACTGTGCATCTGAAAGTTTGGCTATTTCTTCATTGCTTAGATTTATCGGCTCTGGGGCTCTGAGTTGTTCTTGAGCCATGTTTTGTTCTGTTCGTGCCTTGTATGGACGAGGAGAGGCGCCTTGGTGTTTACCGGGGCAGGGCCACCCAGGTCTCGGGTTTGTGATGCTGTATGTGGGGGCGGGGTCAGAGAGGGAGCAATGATGGTCCTCTCCACTTGCCCAGTCTGCCTCACAGCTCGCCCCCGCCTGCTTATTCGAGCGCAAATGTGCGAGTCTGCCACCCTGCGCCAGTCGCTGGGGCCCGCGAGATCTGCTCAACGCTCGCCTTTTCACTGGTTTATCTGCGTGCAAATGCGTGACCAACTGCAGACAGCCAGCTGTGGATTCGGCCCGTAGCTAGCCCACACCTGGGATCCGTGCCCCCGGCTGCCTGTGCACCACCTGGGTCTTTTTTGCCCGACTGGCTCCACTGCTCGTTTTTGCCCCTCTCACCGGTTTAGCTGAATGGTCCGTTGTTTCTGGACTCCGTATTCAATTTTCTGTGTGGTTTGGTTATGTTTATTATTGTTAAAACTTTGTTGTTTTTAGATTTGGTTGTGCGAGGATGAAAAGTGTTCCCACCTATGCCTCCATCTTGGCGGAAGTGCACATAAGATACTCTTAAGCACTTGGTAGGTAGTAAATCATTTCAGACTACTATAGCTTCTTCCAGTCTAAATAAGTCTAAAATTGTCTCTAACAGGGTAACCTGTGAAACCAGAATTCTTTTGTGATACATTTTTGATCAATTTACAGAACATCAGCAACTAGTAAAAAGTAAAAGCATGTTTATACTAGGCAAAATTGGCTAAAATGATTTGCATTATGTGCAAAGATGAGAAAAGAATAATTCATTTCATAGAAATAAACAGTAAATTGTTACTTAGTATTTCCACAGGAAGCACTCCTAATAGGGGTCTTGTAATAAAGCAATGGCCATCATTTATTAAGCAGGGTTCAAAAACTGTGTTAAAACTTGACTTGCTTTAGCTTTAGTCCTTGAAACTTTTCTATGAGATAGTTTTATTACCTTCCCTATTTTACACAATGAAAAACTGAGGCATGGGTCAGATTAGGTAATTTAAATTGTATTGCTAGTAAACAGTAGGATCAAAATTTGACTTCAGGCAGTCTGATTCTAGGGCTCCCTCTCTCAAGTACTTTGTAATATTGCTTCCTTTTTGGGTAAGCTCTTAAAAGATGATGGTTATGAAAATACTGTTAAGTGCTGCTATGAATGAGCACCAAACTAAAGGCAATTAGTGCTGCTCC